CTGTTTGTCTGAAAATGCTTTCTAATCCCTGTTCCTTTCCTCGCCTTCGATTACGCCCATTATTATTATGTTTCCTCTCTTGATGGTATCAGCTAGTTCTTATATTTCTCTTTCATTATTTTTCATTCTTCAGTTTCTCTCTTCTTCCTTCTGATTTATTTCTAGATTTCTGTCTTCGATATCACTGATCCTTTCCTCCATTTGGTTGACTCTATTTCCCAAGCGTGCTATTTCATTTTTCAACTCTTGCAGTGTTCTTTTTCTCTAGAAGTTCTATTTGGTTCTTCTTGAGGGTGTCAACCTTGTTGCTCTGCTCATCTAGCTGCTTTTGTAATTTCTGAAATTGTTGATATGACTTGTTTCGAAACTCACTGAGTTTTTTCAGAAGTACCATCCTGAATTCTCTGTCACTTAAGTCACATATTTCTATGTCTATAAGCTCATTTTCTGGAGATTTTTCTCTTTCTTTCTGCAATACCTTGTCTCCTTGGTTGTTCATGGTGTTTAATGGACTATTTCTCTGCCTGGGCATTAATGAAAGTGTATTCTGTTGTTTTTTTCAGAAAGAAAATTTGTTATATAAGGTCTCTTTAGCCTGCTGCAAAGAAAGCGCTTTTCATTTGGTTTCAATAGACGGCATCTAAGCCTCTTGAATCCCTGCTTTATATAGAGCCTAATGTCTTTTTTTTTTTTTTTTGTAGATTATAATCACTCTTGCTACTCTCAGCTTCAGTCACTGTCAGTGTTAACAACAATTTTGGTAGTGTTTGCTCCAAATCATTATGAAGTGTCCCTCAGTATCTTTCTTTCCCCTGGGGCTTTGCAGTGATAAGTTTCGGAGGGTTTGGGGTGAGGAGCCCTCTTGGTTGGGGATTGGGGGCTGCAGCTCAGCCTCGGTTTTGCAGCCGTGGCCAGTAGAAATCAACTGCTGTTTCTCTGCGGTCCCATCCCACTTCTCTGCTTTCTGCCTTGATGACTTAGCCCTGCTGCTGACTGCGTAGAAAAGTTCCGGCTCTTCCAGGCAAGGCTGTTCAGAGAAGTCGCCGTACCTTCACCCCCCTCTCCCACTCCTCCTGCAAGGAGCTTCTGTGGCTGCAAGATGCAGTTTCTTTATTTGTCCCACTCCACCACCTGACACCTGGGGTTCTGACCTGTGGTAGCTCTTATGCACAGAACCCATGTTCAGAAGTGCTGGTGTGCTGTTTGGGTGTTTTTGTTGAGTTTTAGATGTTCAGCTTATTGTTGTTTCAAGAGGAGAGATCTGAGGACGTCTCTCACTCAGCCATGTTTTTCTCCCTCATTATTATTGTTGCTATTAATGGAATAGGAGAGCAATCACTGATACCTAGGCTGGTCTAAGTTACAGAATTAAGTCATGACATAAGTAATTAAGTAATTAAGTAATTAAGTAAGACATAGCCCCAAGGGATACAAACATCATATAAATTATAAAATTAGGATTTTTAGGTTCAGAGAGAAAGTGAGCTTTGCATTGTTGCAAGGTTAGTTCGTAGCACAATTTTCAGGAATCTCCCTGGGCCCTTTTGTTTTCTTCTTCTATATTCTTTCTCTAGTAGTCTCCTTGACTCTCACAACATCAATTATCTTATGTATACATATAACTCTCCTATCTATATGCACAGCTTAAAATTCTCTCCTGGTCTCCAGAATTATATGGATTTTTCATCTATGTTAAGATGGTTTACCATCATCTCAAATTCAATATGTCTAAAACTATAATAATTACCTTGAGTACTAGTAACACCTATTTATACTCTAAGACCACCCCATCCCCTGATACACACACACGCACGCGCGCGCACACACACACACACACACACACTACACACTCATTTACTTACTAACAGTATTCCATATCTGAGCAAGTGCCAACTTTCCACATGCTCCCAAATTGGAAATAGGAACCATGTCTATCAGTGTATCCATAGGGACAAGCAGAGATCATGACATATACTAAATGTCTAATTAATATGTGCTAATTCAATGAATAAAGTCTTGACTCTTTTTCAGTCACCACTCTCCATTTAAAGAATCAGCCAGGTCCTGTTTATTCTGTCTCTTTAATCACTTGCAATTTTTTTTTATTTTTCCCAATTTTCATTGCTTCTACTTTTATCCAAATGACCACCATCTATTGCCTGAAATATTTTAGTGTCTTATCTCCCCTTCAATATATCCTTAAAGCTGCAACAGTCTTAAAAGAAACACTGAAAGAGACAGAAATGAATAGGTAGAGCCCAGGGGATTTTTAGGGCAGTAAACATATGCTGTATGATATTATAATGATGGATATACATCATTATACTTTTATCCAAACCCATAGAACATTCAACACCAAGAGTAAAATCTAAGTAAAGTATGGACTTTGGGTGATTATGATGTGCCAATGCAGGCTCGTCCTTGGTAAAAAAAAATAAATAAATATAATTATTAATTAATTAACTAATTAATTACGAGTATGATTCTGGTGATGTTGGGGGAGGCTATGCATGTGTGGAAGGGGAGAAAATATGAGACATCTCTGTATCTTTTCAATTTTGCTGTAAATTAAAAACTGCTCTTAATATGTCCAGAGATTCTCTGAAAAGTGAGTGCCCCTTGAAATTGGTATACATTCCTTCATCTGTTGTTCTCCTGTTGCTTCTAACTCTGCCCCAACTTCAGACTGCTTATAGAAGAAAGTTTCTCAGATCTGATTTTTTGAGAGATTGGACATTTCAAACATAAGCATGTAGTTTCAAATTACATTCAACAAACTCTAAGAACAAAACTTCCATGAGGTTTTCATACTTGTTGCCCTATAAGAATGTCAACAGCAGCAAAGTCTTTCAGGAACAGAGCTGACTTCCTGGCTTCCCAATGGGACCCCGAAGGTCTCAGGATGCCTCTTTATGTAATCCTGAAGGGACCTGCTACACTCTCCTGCCTTCCAGCCTAGAGACGTGCAAGAGCTCATAACATATCCACACTGTGAGCCAAACACAGAATAAAGACACTAAAGATAGTGAAGCAAGCACCACCAGACAGGAGAAACTACAGGTAAGACTTCTCTGTAAATGTTTAGGGAAAAGAAATATGGTTGATGACTATCGTTAGAGGACGAAAAGAATTAGTACATATAATGCACTTACAGTAGTGCCTAAACATAGAAAGCCATCAATAAATATGATTGTCCTCACCTGGGCTCTACTTCAGTTCCTCTTCTATGCACCTTGCCCTTTGCTTCCAATTATATTTTGATACCGCATAAGTGCAAGTTATGGCATCTGATGACATCAATTAATGAGAATAAGAAGATAGTTATTAACAAGGACTAACCTAGAAGAAAAATGATCCTAGTGTATGATGAAATGAATACAAGATAAAGAGATGGTGGTGACTTTAGAAAAGGGAAACAGACAAGAAAGCTGTTATATAACAAAAGGAAAAATTTTAAAGTATATGCTGGATTAAAAAAGGATGAGGACTAAATATTAGCCATTATATTTGCAGCTAGTTCATTTTAAGTCTTGTGAGAATAGTATTGGTAGCAGGATCTGGATGAAAGGGAGACTCTAGGGGACTAAGAACTAATAGGGAGTGTGGGAACAGAAGCAGAAAAAAATTAAAAGGAGTTGCTCATGAGCTAATATGTTATCAAGACAATATGAGTTATTGAAAGCAATCTCTGCAGAGACAGAGAAGAGCAATGATTATGTCCTTTTATCTTCTCTTAGTTACACTCAAAAACTCTGAACCTTTATTTGGATAGACGTTAGATCAAATAAGGCAATGAAAAAAATCATTTCTAATGTCTGTGTTTCTCTCTGAACGAAGACTCTGAACATGAAGCTAAATTCATCATTTATATCTGAGGTGACTAACACCACTAAAGACTCCTTCTACTTCATCCTCACGGGCATACCTGGATTTGAGGCTTCCCACATCTGGATCTCCATTCCCTTCTGCTGTCTCTACACCATCTCCATCATGGGCAACATCGCCATTCTCACTGTCATCCGCACAGAGCCATCCCTCCACCAGCCCATGTATCTATTTCTCTCCATGCTGGCCCTGACCGACCTGGGTCTCACCCTCACCACCCTGCCCACAGTCATGCCACTCCTCTGGTTCAATGCTCGAGCAATCGGCTTTGAAGCTTGCTTCACACAGATATTTTTTATTCATACATGCTCCTTTATGGAATCTTCTGTGTTGTTGGCCATGTCCTTTGACCGCTATGTGGCCATCTGCCGCCCCCTCCATTATGTCACCATCCTCACCAGTCAGGTCATTGGCAGAATTGGGTTAGCCATCATTTGCCGCTGTGTCCTGGCTGTGCTTCCTTCCCTTTTCCTACTCAAGCGCCTGCCCTTCTGCCGTTCTCGCCTTCTCTCTCACTCGTACTGCCTCCACCAGGACATGATTCGCCTGGTCTGTGGTGACATTCGGTTCAATAGCTGGTATGGATTTGCTCTAGTTTTGCTCATTATTGTGATGGACCCTCTGCTCATCATGCTGTCCTATGCAATGATTCTGAAAAGTGTCCTGGGAGTAGCCTCCATGGTTGAGAGACTCCGGGCCCTCAACAACTGTCTGTCCCACATTCTGGCTGTTCTGGTTCTCTATGTTCCCATGGTTGGACTTTCTATGACCCACCGCTTTGCCAAGCATGCCTCTCCTCTGGTCCACGTCACCATGGCCAATATCTACCTGTTGGCACCTCCTGTGATGAACCCCATCATTTATAGTGTAAAGACTAAGCAGATCCGCCAAGGAATTATCCACCTCCTTTCCCAAAGAAATGTGCATTTAAGATAAAAGAATGGATTTGTTAAATTACTCTGGAGTTGGAACCGTAGGCTTACAGGGAGAGAGTATAGTCAGAATTAAGAAATAGAGTCTGAAAAATAAAACCCCATCATATTTTTTAAGGCAATATGATATGGTCTTGGCTTTTTGGCTTGTAGCAAGCTACAAGTATTTTATTCAAAAGAGATGCAGATCTGAGTTGATTACATTCTAGCACATTTTACCAGCTATGCCAGTGGGATAAGCTTCATCATTTGAGTAAAGGTCTGTTTAAGTTTTTTCTTCCTTTCTGGATATTCTTTACCCCCATGAGCTTGGTTACATAAGTTAGAAAGAAACACTTAGTTGTTGCTCCCACTACCCTTTCTCTTAGGTAGATTCTCTAGGGAGTTCACGTAAACTCTAGCCCCATGACCCTGGCTCAGCCTAGTGGGTAGGTGTGCTCTGATATTATCTTTCAAAAGAGTGGAAAATCTTTGAGGGTAGATGGATACAGAGCAAGTTTCTCAGCTATTCAAGTTTGCCTAATCGGCACCCAGCATAATTTCAGTATACTGAATGAGCACTTGCAGAGTCTAAATATTGGGATAGGGTGTTTACATCCCCTATAGCTAGAATAAGGCTTCTGCCTCACTAGAAATCCTTAGTATTTAGAATTAAAATTTTAGGTAAGCCTACGGATCATATTTGTAGGAATAGAAGTTCATTTTTCTGACCAGAGCAGACTGTCTTTTAAATTTTTATGTCCTTTATTTGGCTCAAATTCTTGATAGACAGGTTCCTTTTGGCATCAGGATGTTGTACTAGAAAAGGTTCTGGTAAAGAGATATACCCTTAATGATTATAAAGATTATTTTGTAGAAACCGGGTAGGCTCTCTCAGAAATATAAGTTTGAAGGACATCCATAATTTTGGTCATAACTTCTGATTACTGAACTCATGGTATAGGTCACCAATATTAGGACTAACTTAGATTTTAATCAAAATAGTCAGGGCTTCTGTGGGAACATTGTGAGAGGGAGGATTAGGAAGTGACAGGTAGAGAGCAAGTGAAGAAGGGATATCTTTCTTCTCTAACATCTTTTTCCTTCCCTTTTTCCCATTTTGTTTTTATCAGAGCCTAGAAGTTATGTTTCTCTAAAGAATCATAAACCAGCAGGTGTATGGAAATAAACTGTAGAATGGGAGACACATACAATGTCAGAATAAGAGAAATTAGGACAAAGAAATCTAAATGCTAAAAAAAAAGTCAAGGAAATGGGTAGGAATATGGATCAAAAGAGACTTTTCTTTCAATGGATGATACAGGCTTGAGAATCTCCCAAAACAGCATGAGGGGAAAATAAATCTTGGGTTTATACCAGTTTTTGAGGAGGAGCACGTAATACAATTAATAATCTCTTGATGAGATTTATCTATTAATTGAACTTTATGGTCACAGACAATGACTAAACTTTAACTGGAAACCAAATAAAAATTAAATTAAATTAAATTAAATCCAGAAATCTGCCCTTATTCTTTGCTCTTCCACCTTTTCTTATTTTCTTTGTCCCTAGACAAAACTGTTCACTATTCTGTGAGTGAGTGTGTGTACATCTGTATATTCGTGTGAGCTTTATGACTTAAAAAACAGCATGATACCTTAAGATTTCAAAATAAATTTGATTTTTGGAAACATTTTTCTTGGTGTTTCTTCATGTTGTTTAGTGAATAGAATGTAAATAACTATACTGGTCACATTTGATTACAGAAGTATTTTTCTATTTCTTGAAACTTCGAGGGTGGTTTTATTGACTCTTTGTAAATTATTTTGAATGAAATATATGAGGACATAAGATTGAATATCAGTTTTTTTAGAAATACTAAATATATTACACTAGTTTAAGTGAAAGATAGTCTAAGCTACTGCTATTGAAGGAACTAAATTTCATCCAGGCACTAATCTTTCTGTAAGTAATGAGCATAAAAAGAAAAGAGACAGAAAACTTTAAGCAACCAAGAAATCCTTCAGTAGGCAAGTGGATAAACAAATTGTGGTACATCCATACAATGTAATACTATTCAGAAATTAAAAAGGAATGAGTCATCAAGATACATAGAAACATGGATGAATCTTAAGTGTACATTGCTAAGTGAAAGAAGAAAGGACTATCTTAAAAGTCTAAAAAATGTATGATTTTGTTTTTATGAAATTCTGGAAAAAGCAAAACTATAGAGTAAGTTTATCAGCAGTAACCAAGAATTTGGGGGAGGAGATTGTTGAATTGGTGAAGCACAGGAAATTTTTTAGGATGGTGAAATTAATTGTAATACTGTAATGGTGCACGTAAGCCACTATTCATTTGCCAAAATCCATAGAACTTTATGACAGCACAGGATTAACTTTAATGTATGCAAATTTTACAAAATCATTTATGACATCAGGGAATCCCAGGATTAAATACAGAATGTGATCAACAAATTATAATTCTATTATAAATATATAAAAGAACCACACTGAAAGGGACTGGGGGGAACGTTACTGACCTAAGTAACTTTGGAAATGGGTAGAATCTGTAAGATTGAGGGCAAAAGGAAGTATAATTAATGCTGTACTCTAGTTGATAAAATAATTTCTTATGGGGGTGTGGGTTAACAGTTCTACATTATATTTGTGTACTAGAACTGAACAATTAAGTACATGAATGGCATTTGGTAGGGGCCAAGTTTCTCACTGTTAGATGGTAAGTTACAAGAAAGCAAAGTAGAAAGTTTAACTGATACATTAGCTGGAGTTGGAAACATCATTATAAGGTCATGTTTGGCTTAATGTGGATGCAGATGGGTAAATAGAGAAATATATATAGATAGTTATATATACATAGGTTAGTATCTAGACATATATTTCCTTGTTCTGTCAGCTGAGAGGGACTAGAAACAATGACAACCTAGTAGCAACAATCAAATGCATTCACAGAAACAAATGTTTTTGGAAACAACTTTATGTGATAAATAAAATTAGTATAAGAAATTTTGAAACTAAAATTTCTTAATTTTCAATGAGAAAATTAACTGAAGACTCCCATGTATTAAAATGTTATTCTGAAATTATATTCCATACTGGGATAATATTAGGCCAAAAAAAGTTTTAAATATTTTTTATAAAAATACAAAACTAGTCTAATTTGTCCAATAATTCATCCTTATCAGGAACACTAAGTAAATTTGAATATTTGTGTAATCCTTCTGTATTTATTTACATAATATTAAAACATTTTACATACCACTTATGTCTTAATATAAACATAACTAGTGAATTTTTTTATGAATATGGATTTCTTACCTAATTGTATTTCTATGCCTCTCATCCTGTAAACTAGGTTTTAGTCATTATAATATCATGGCTTGAGTCTCTTTCATATATATATTTCAAGTTCTCTAAACTAGGATTTTTTTTCTCTGTCCTTCACATTAGAAATTTCATGACCTTAGACCCACAAAAGTCATTAAACAAATACCAATAGACATTTTTTAATTTATTACTTTATTTCACTATAACTTCTTATTAGTTTCCACATTTTAACTTCTAACCTGGTGGTGTCCAGTAGATGTATAATACAAGCATATGTTAGTTAGAATTTTGCTAGTAACAATATTAAAAAAAAAACAGAAATAATTGAAAATAATTTTCAAAGTATATATTGTTTAACCCAACATATCTAAACATGTAACCTATGATTAAAATTTAATAAGATATTCTACATTCATTTTTATATGTTAGGTCTTCAAAATCTGGTCTCATGTCATTACAACACATGTCAATTCAAACTAGCTACATTTCAAGGGCTCAATAGCCATTTGTAGCTAGTGGTCACTGTATTAGACAGTGTAGCTTTGACTTTAACATTTACAAGGCTGCAAACATCTGTGCTATTGTCATTTGGAATTGTTACTCAAAGTCATAGTCTTTGAGAGAGTCAGAAGATAGCCAAAATGATTTACTAGATAATATTCTAACATATTTTTTTTTACAATCATGCAACTATCACTTTTGATTTTTCTAAGTCTTGGATCCCTGAACAAGTGTGAAATAAATCTATTAAAAGTGATCTGGACTCTGAACATTGCTGCTAAGCAAACATATCCCCAGAAGTGATCATTTTTATCATAAAATAAGTAACTATGAAAGTAATCCTACTTAAAATGAGATTTGATCATGTATTCAAAGTCTAATCATGGTTGTTCATGCTTTCGACTTGTGGCTTACATGATATATCCATCTGCTTATGACATTTAAAATCTAGAAGGAAATATTAGAGCAGCCTCACAAAATCAGTGCACCATTCATTGTTAAGTTTTTAGATTTACTCTCTATGTTGCATTTAAAAATAAAATATTTTTATAAATCTACTTTTTACATGTAATAGGTGTTCAAAGACGTTATTTGAATAAATAGAGATAGTAATTATTCACTCTTTAGTGAAAGATGCCTATATTTACTCATGAATCTTTAGGTACTACTCTAAAAGAAATCATTTTCCCTGACAATGTGATTTGACCAGAATTTTTCCAAAACAGTCACTTTGACTTTATAGAAGCTGTCACTGGTGGGTATCTAATCTAGTCATCTTTAATCTAATTACATGCTCCTCTAGAGAAATGTGAAGATATTCCTGGAAGTGTCTGAACACAAAGATTTTTAAGGTAATGACTTTTTAAGATATTAAATATCTTTAAAGTTTCTTTGCTTAAATCGCTTTTCCATGAATATACCTGGCTTTACTGTATCTCTGTTACACCATTTTTTTTCCTTTTCACAATTGTATTCACTCACTTTAACAAAAAAAAAAATGTATTTTAATTTTAAAAGATGGAAAAAAAATAGGCATAGCTCTACTCTTAAAGTCATCTGGAATATTTCTGTAATATACCACAATGTGTAAAACTTTCTGAGATACCAAACAAAGAAACTCTTAGAAATATTAGCTTAGATATTGATAAAGCAAATGACACCTATGACTGGGTAACATACTCTAGTGTAAAACAAATGGCATTGATTTTATTGCTTTCAATAAAAGTAAAGAGGGATTCAATGGAATTATCACTTATTAAGTCATTAAATTAATATTTGATAAGAGATCATCACATGGTTTTTGTCATTTAATTCCAAAAGTATTTTAAATGACACTGAGTTATGATGAAATGATTCCAGTAACATCTTATTTATGTAGTCAAACTTATCAGTATTAACTTCACAGAAAGGAAAGTGAATAGAAAGATTTATTGCTAAATTATCTCTCATTCATTTAATAAAAAAATATTCATTTTAAAATCCAAGAAGAAAGCTAGGGCATCCCATTAAGAGATAGATATCTAATCAAATTTTTCTTTTGATATATCAAAATTTATATTATATTAAATTGCTTTGATCAATTATGTACAAATAAGTATTGGGAAAGTAACTCGATGCAGAGTACATTTTTAAACTATGCTTTATGTGCTGCCAATTTTTAAACATTAAATTTAAATATAATTTTGTTAACCAATGTCACCACAATACATTTAATAAAAAAAGTTTTAAATGTATACATTTTTTTATTACAAGTAAGTATGATAGAGTGATCATTAAAATAGTTTCAAACATAAAAATACATTACATGGTCAAAACTCTTTGGCAGAGGTAAAATAAAATTTGAGTTCAAAGAAAAAGGGACTAATATGTGAATGTTAAAGAATGCATTTGTATATTTTAAAATCCATGGTATGAAATGTGAAAACATAAGGTATTTAAATTTCGTTGGATACTTAAAGGTGCAATATAACAATTTATTTTAAACTGATTTTATTTCCTATATATCCCCAAATGCATGCTCAACCAGTATGTAAATTTATGGTAAAAATTTCAGATGTCAACCTAAAAACACATGAAAGGTACATTTTTTTCTATTAATTATTTTAGAGAACACAAAAACTTGGTCACCACTGTTCTAAACAGATTGAGAACTTCAAAAAGACCATTGTGTAAAGGTGACCCTGATGAGCTGGATGAGGTTGGGAAGAATAGCATGTAGAGAGGAAAACATTTTCATTGTCGTTGAAGGCTCTGAAATGAAAGAAGCTGAAAACCTGAGTCATCACTGACCAACCAGCACAGTCCTGTCCGTCTACTCTACACAGAACTGTGTACTGTTTGGGAGATGTGAGGATGGTCTTTCCCATTTAACCAAAGCTCTAGAAAACCATAGTGAGCCACAGACAGAGGCAAGCAGTGTCAACTAAACCTATGCTGACAGAGCTAGAATGAGGTAAAGGAACAGATAAAAACACCCATCACATGGCATGGTGAAGTTACTAAATTCTGAAGGGACAGGTAGAAAAGAGAACAGAAATGCCCAGGCACAGTAACACCAGATCTATTTGACTCTAAAAATAGGGCCTGAAATTATGTTAAAGCACAATTTGGTGCTTTTGCTGGATTCTTAGGATCTAAACCCTGGGCATTGTGAGGTTGTCCATATTTTACTTTGTACCTAAATTGAGGCCATTTAATCATCCTCAGAGTCTCCTTGTATGGTGGGTCATGGGGAGAGTCTGGCTCTTTATATAACAGGAAGAATGTCCCTTCATAGGTATGTTTACTATATATTGTTTAAACAAGGACAATCTGAGAGAGAAAGAGAGTACTATGAATAATGATGCTGAGGAAAATAAGTGTAAACCATGACTATCTGGGGCAGACTAGGAAGTATGCTCACCATATTCAAAGGAATGTTCTTAGAATGATCTTTTTTGGCAGGGGAAGGGTGGAGGGTGATGCTTAATCCCTGCCTAACCCATCAAAAATGAAATTTGTTTTATTTCAATTCAATATCAGTAAGCCTTGATCCTTCGCTGTTAACTTACTATTGCCAGGCTTTTTGCTAGGAGTTTCAATGGGCAAAAGGAAAGAGAATTCCATGATCACTGCCCTGAAGTTGATTGTTTCTGTTAAAGATGACATGCATATGTGCACTGACAGAGACATGCATATATTGATAAGATGTGAGGTGGGAAGGGCTATGGATAACTCTTACGATCCAGATTCAAGCCTGTAGCAAAGCTTTGAATGCTTTATTTCTGTCCTCCTAACAATGCCTGGTGTAGAGCTTTGTCCCCAGCAAAAACACCATCAGAGTTTGTGGACTGACTCAAAGTCTCTGCCAACCTTAGAGTAATTCAAAGCAATTCCCTTTTGCAGGAAAACAAGGTAGCAATTCCCTGTCTGATTGGCTTGGTCTTGACACTGTAGATGATGGGGTTGAGCACAGGAGGCACGAAGAGGTAGATACTGGACATGAGTGTGTGGACCAGGGGTGAGACATGCTTGGCAACCCGATGCATTACAGACACACCAATCATAGGCACATAGTACACAAGCACTGCACAAATATGTGACACACACGTGTTGAGGGCCTTCCACCGTCCCTCCCTAGAAGCAATGCCCAGCACTGTGTAAAGAATTAGTATATAAGAGACCACAATGAGCAATGAGTCCAGCCCAAAAGTGGCCAGGACAATGGCCAAGCCCAGGATACTATTGAGCTTAGTATCAGCACAAGGAAGTTGGATAAGATCTGAGTGGAGGCAATAAGAGTGGGAGAGGACATTGGTGTGGCAATAGGGCAGTTGCCTCAAAAGAATTGGAAGTGGGGCCATGAGTATCACACTCTTCAGTGTAATGCCCAGACACATGTAGATGATACGTGGTATTGTCAGGATGACTGTATAGTGCAGTGGATTGTAGATGGCTACAAAGCGGTCGTAACTCATTGCCAACAGAACCCCAGACTCCATGCAGGAGAAAGTATGAATGAAGAACATCTGGGCCAGGCAGCCATCAAAGTCAACCTGGCGGACATCAAACCAAAGAATGCCCAAGACAGTGGGCAGTGTAGACACAGAGACACCCACCTCAGTCACAGCCAACATGGAAAGAAACAGGTACATTGGCTCATGTAGGGCAGGGTCCGCCTGCACTGCTACCATGATCAGGCTGTTGCCCACAATGGCCACAATGTACATGGTGAAGAAGGGGCTGGAAAGCAAGCCATGATGAGCCTCCAATCCTGGGATTCCAGTTAGAAAGACGGATAAGAGATCAAGACTTTCATTGTTCTCGTTTCCCATATCATCGATATTCACCTGTCCTGTGAAAAAGAAAACAAAGTTAGCTCCCACCTGTAGGGTCCTCTGGCTTAGCAGCTCACCTCAAAGGCTGAAGGAGGGAGATACAAGGAGATGGGGGAACCTGGAGTCATTGATATCATTCTAAGTAAAAATGTGACAGATAGTCTCCTCTTACTTCCTCTTCCCCTGACAGCAAGAATACTAAAATTTTACATATAAAAAAGATATTTGAGACTTCCCAATCTTCTGAGAGACAGCATAGCTTAAAACTTATTAGCAGAAACACAAGAATAAATCAGAACTGGATCAAAATCCATACTCAGCCAGTTACTAGATATGTGATGTGGACAACTTATTTATACTCTGATCCAAAGTTTGTTTGTTTTTTAACTTGTAAAGTGTGGATAATTATAACACCGTTCTCTTATTTGGATATAAAAAAAAAAAAACAAATGAGAAAATTAACATCATATGTTCAGTGTTTTAGAGCTCTACAAATGAATTCTGGTAGACCTTAGTTTGAAGCCCAATTTACAATTTACTCTCAATGTGACCTTGAGCAACTAACTTAACCTTCCCAAGCCTCCATGTGTCCATTTGTAAACTAGGAATAAAAATACGTCTGCCTCATATGTTTGTTGTAAAGGTAAATAAGATATTGTAAGACATATGAAACACTGAATAAATATAAACTCTTTTATTCTTAGGGAGATACTAAGGCCAAGAGAAGAAGAGTGACAATGTACCAAAAACTGAAAAATCAATTTCTGCAGAGTCCAGGTGATAGCTTAGACCCACAGACTCTTCTTATAGTGATGTTTCCATTTCCCTATGGAGATGGCAGTAAACCTCAGTCTGATCTCAAATGGAGTTATAAAAAAGATTGAGTTGTAGCTGTGCCAATATGGATCTAGTCATCTCCATGTGTTCCCACTCCGCTCCAGGGGAAGAAATACTTTAAATGAAAGTGAGACAGTGGTTTTAGAAAGCAGAAAAGTAGAGAAATATGAATAAAGGTGGTGAAGGATATAGACACTCTAGGTGAAAATTATACTAATATGCAAGTGACTTCTGGGTTTAAAAACAGAGTTCAGAAAGGCTATTAAATAAATATGTAGTCACTTCAAAATAGTTTGTTTGATCTAGAATCCATTGAGAGATCAAAGGCACAAAGATAAAGGACTCCATCAATGGCCAAGAGATCAGGGAGAAATAGTTAAACCCCAACCAAAAGGTGAAAATTTATAATATAATATAATATAATATAATGCAATGCAATGCAATGCAATATAATGTAACATAATGTAACATTATGTGACAAAACTTTAAATTTGTAAAATAAATTTTCTTTAAATGAAGTAGAAAAGTGAAGTCACAACCATTTATTCATTTAACCGACTCAGACATATAATTCGCCAATTCTTTATCAACTTTTTATCCTGCAGTTACCCAGTGTTGATGTGAAATGGTCCATAGCTAAACACATAGCTAAAGAGTTTGATGAGAATGCTCCCCTGGAATGGATGAAGAGTAGGAGACTATACAGCTAAGGGAATTCAAAGAGCTATGACCATGGAGACGCTTACAGCATAGTAATGAGGGAGGCCCCAGAACTCACAACCTCTTACTGTCTTCACTTTCAAGCTCTCTCTTCAGGCACAAGCCCTACAGAAATTCCATGCATTCTACCTCTGTGCTTCCCTCAAGATCAATAGCTTCCCTGACAGGTGAAATATACTTGCTTTTGACATTTATTCATTAGTGTCCATTGGTTTTGCCTCACACATCAGTGGTTCTCAATGTTGTCTACTCACAGGAACCACCTGCCAGCTTAAAAATCCCAGTGCCCAAATAACACCCCACATCAATTAAATTAGAGTCTCTGGATGTGGTGTCTAGTTATCAAAAGTTGAGAACCACTCCAGAACCATTTGGTGACCTTTCAGTCACTTTACAGTAACAGCGTTTTAGACAAAAACACTTGCAAGCACTTTCCAAATCTTCCTCTTTTTTTTTTTTTTCCAGTTAGCCTACCTACCACTCTCCTGACCTGCAACTTAAACATTCCCTTATGTTTCATCATCTGCTAGATTCCTCAGCATTCTGGAGCTCCTCTAAATAAACTTAGATTTATTCATAATATTCCAAGGTAGTGGCCACAGAGGTAGCCTAGGTGTGGGGCTAGCATTGCATGTCACTTCCTTGGAGGTGCACCAAAGGGAGAAAAGGACCTGGTAGGAGCATTTTGAGGCTTTGTCTAATCATCTCACCTGCTTGCAGTCTTGACCTAACTTACCTAAGACTTCCTACCACTGGTAAAACCTCACCTTGAGCAGCAAGTAACAATGAAGGCTTGGAAACACTAACTGTGACCCATGTCATGGAAGAGGAACATGAATGATAGGGAATGGAAAGGGTGAAAGAGCACAGCTGCAGGAAATGCACTCACTCTTTGGATAGTAGAAAGGATAACTAGAGAGGCAATTGCCTCACTACCAAGCTGTCTCATTTCAGACCCATAACAACCATCGTAAGGGGCTTGCCTTAAACCAATGAATGGCTAAATTGGGAATCGAATTTAGTTTTTTCAACTCTAAGTCCTGTGGCCTTTCCTAAGAAACTCAGAAACCAGCCTTCTGAAGCTAAAGCCACCTAAGTAGAAAGAATGGACAGATGCTGGAGAAGTTGGTCATCTTTATTTTCACAGGCAGAGAAAAAGACAAAATTTCAGATAGATATTTTCCTGCTTCATATGCCAAGTGGGAGCCAGATTGAAGAAACTAGAAGTTAAGCGACCTTCTGAAGTGGCCTCCTCTCAGAAGTCCACTGATTCATTTGTCAACTTGACAGGTTCTCTAGGACCTGAAACCAGAGTCTAGTCTTATATCCACTGAGAGAACCCCCTCCACAGCATCCTTATCAAACTGTCACTCACACTCGGCTTGAACACTCCCAATGACTGGGAGCTCATTGGATCTAAAGCCACCATACCAGTTAGGTCACACTGACTTATAAAGAATTTTCTCGCAGTGGGCTTTAACCTACTTCCTCTACATTATACATAATGTTGCAGACACAGAGATATGATCATCTTTTTTAAGTTTCAATTAAATATTGTTATTTGTTAAATATTGTTATTGTTATTGAAAATATCGGCTATTTTCTTGTAAAACACATCTTAATTTGTAAACATGTATTTACTTGTATAATTTTTTTGTGTAATGCCTATATCCCCTAGTAGATTGTAAGTAAGAATCAAAGTAAGAATCATATTGACTACTTGTTTTTTTTTTTTATTATTTTAAATCACTAGATACCCAAAACTAGCACAGGATCAAGCACATAGCAGATGTGTAATAAATATTTAATTGGAAAAATAAATAATCAAATAGATAAATAATATCTGAAAGTTTCAATCATAATATCCTGTGATCTCTCTTCTTCAGATTATCTATTCTAAATTCTTTTAGCTACTTAAAGTACCTGATTTTTAATTTCTTCACCATAGAGTCTCTTGTCAGGGTGTCTCATGGATAGTAAATCTAATATAAGTCAGCAGGATGATATGCAGCTTACAAACGGGTTTTAATGGGTTTTAGGCTTTGTTAACAGAGGTGTTTTATTCAGAAGATGTGTTCTAAAATGTACATTTACAATTCTATGCTTTATTTCTTTTTCCTGCTTGTAATGTCTTTTTCTTCCTTATTAGTTTTACTATTATTCATACTCAAAATTTTTATTTTATCTGCAACTTTTCCTAGCACTATTTAAGCAGAAATTATAACTCTCATCTGTGATTTTATATTTTATTCGGACTTTTCCTATTTTATTAGAATTACATGTATACCCTGTTCTCCCTTTCACAATTTGGGCTCTTTTAGAGTTAGATTTGTTTATAGTTTGTACTTATTTCCCCCAGCACTTTATGATTGTAATGCAAAGACACGCTCAATAATGATTAATAAAAGCATGAACATACTGCTCAGGGCCATAACAGAAGTATATTCAGCTCCAGGTTCCATATTCTAGATTGGAGTTAAACTGACTGGGACATAATCAAAAGGCAAATGAGATCAGTCACCGAAGGAACCAATGATGCTTTTTTTCTAGAAGAGAATACCGTAGAAGAGATAGAAGGGTGGGGGTGGGCATAAGAGTGGTGGTGAGTGATAGGTGAAAATCAGAAGGAGACAGTCTGGGCTCAGCTAAAGAAGATTTTTCTAAGAGGCAAAGCAGCACAACAAAGTAGGACGTTTCTGCTCAGTGGAAATGTTCAAGCAAAGACTGAATAACCCTTGATGGGAACGCTGGAGAGACGACTCTGGCATCTCCCTAACTGGAATAAAGGCCCTTTTAACTCTCCTTCTGCCCTCAGGTCTTGCGTTCCAGACTGTCAAGATCTCTCCTACTCCATGACACTGAGAATATCATGGCTGAGGATCTGTGTGGGCCAAAGCAGAGGCAAGTTCTCAGTCTCTGTTATGTGATCATTATGTCTTTCACTGCTAAAGCAGTCTCTGGCAGCTTTGAAAGTGTACGGGAGGACACAAGAGTATTTGAATGAATACTACTCTTTTTGTAGAATACCTACATGAAAATAAAATTTGGAGATTTTCTGTCTTAAACTTCATCATAGGCCAAACAAATTGCAGCTAATACACAAAAACACACATGTATATATCAACAGAGATTCACTCAAAGATACAGAGACATAAGAGAGACAGAAAGAACCACATAGAGGCTCAAACAAAACTGTAGAAAGAAACACACTTCTCGTACACATGCCTGGAAGACACAAACAAATTCAGACTCACCTGAGAGAACTTTGAGAAGAGACAGTTGGATTGAAAGACAGAAGGCAAAAGCTCCCAATGACTCCAGAATGGGCCTCAGGTAGGCACGAGCCAAGAAAGGAGGCAAACTTTATGTCTCCAAATGAGAGTTCCCGGAGGCCGGGGCCTCTGGGGTCCTGTTTTGCCTGAGTATTATGCTGTGTTGGTGATGGGAAGAAAAAGGGGATTAGATTTCATCTTGGGAGCAGAAATAAAATTAAAATCATGTTCCCTGGAGATACTGCCCTCTCTCCATAGAGAAAATAAAATGCCAACTCCTTCCAAACTTTGTCTCCAAATGAGAGTTCCCGCAGGCCAGGGCCTTTGGGGTCCTGTTTTGCCTGAGTGTGATGTTATGCTAGTGACGGGGATAAAAAGGGGATTAGATCTCATTTTGGGAGCAGAAATAAAATAAAAAACTTGTCCCCTGGAGATATTGCCCTCTCTCCACAAAGAAAATAAAATTCCAACTCCTTCTATGTGATGCAGAGAAGGATGGAGACAAATTTCTCCAAGAACTGTAGCAGTGTCCCCCAAACCCCAATTATCCAGTCTCAAAACTGGAACTCTGAACACACAATCCAAAGTCTAGTTCCCTGAATTCTGAGCTTAAAATCAATACTGCTGGAGCATAATGGGTAAATTCCAGGGCTCAGAGCCCAGATAACAGAGCTTACAGTCCAGAGCCAGCCCCAGGATTTCACCAGTAGATAATAGAAGCATGCCTGCCTTCATCCACTTTTCACTACTGTTTCCCACTTGACTCCCATTCAAACTTCCACCAAAGTGCACAAGACTGAGATCTCCTCCAGGGGAGATATCTCAGAGTACTGAAAAAACGTAGGGTTCAAAGTCTCACAGACATAAGTCAGAGTACTAGTTTTGCCGTCTACCAGCTTTATGACTTTAGGAAATTGGCATATCTTCAACTTGGAACCTGAAATATAAAGAAGATAGTGCCTATCTTTGAGAACCAGAAAAAAAGAGAGTAATTTTTTTTGATGTGATTGTAATGTACTTGATCATTATCCTAAGTTCTCCTGGAGGCCCCAATTTCAGGTCCCCTAAATAAACTCTTTTCCAAAGGAGCTAGTCTTCTCCTTAAATATTTTATTTTAACTCTTCCTTACTTTAAATAGAGTAAGAGTATTTTGAAAGAAGTAATGGCAGAAGAGCTTTCTCCCTTTTCTTTCAAGTGGTGGCATGGATCAGAGGAAGCAAACAAAAGATGAACACAGAGAAAATTTTCCCTTCTCCTTATGGAATTTGAAGTATTTCAAAGAGGCAGTTTGAGAACCCTTTTTGCTTCCCATTACTGTAGAGTGACTGTGGAGTGGCTGGAGATTTTTCATTGAATCTTCTGTGTTAGCTATTTCTGTGCTATATCTACACCACCTCGTGGAGATAATAGGCTATGGGTCTGCATTTCCTTTCACCTCCAACACTATACACCTAGTTGTCAGTTTCCCCAAGCTTTAAGATCACCCATGATCTGACTAAAGAAATCTCTCAAGATCTTATTTCCCAAGCTTCTTTATGTGAAACCTCCCCTCTTCCTAAACAAATTTGTTTGCAACTCTCCTAGATATTATAGACCAATATTCTAGGTTAAAGATTCTCAGCCTTTAATATATATCAGAATTACTTGCAAGTCTCATTGAAACACAGGTTGCTGGACTTCAACCCCTAAAATTTCTAGTTCGGGATATCTGAAGAAGAGCTTTAGAATTTGCATGCCTAACAATTTCCCAGCAAATGTTGATGATGCTAGTCTGGGCATCTCACTTTGAGAACCACTTTCCCAGACTCATGTTAATCATGAGTCTTGTTATTTTTGTTACATATCAGATCTGCATTAACTGAGCAGTGTTAGAAAAGAGAAGCACTGTGCTTCTCAAGTTTTAATCTCCCAAGTGTCATATTCAATACAATTTGAAGTTAGTAAGTCTTGTGCGAGGTCTAAGGTTCTGTTTCTCTAACAAGCTGTCAGATATACTAGTGCTATTTATCACATTTGGAATAGCAAGGTTCTGAACTTTCTTGCCTAAATCTTTATTCTCAGGCAATTACTTATGCCAAAATCACTACCTGTCTTCTTCCTGCCATCTTGTACCAAGTATTCTAACCCCTTCCATCCTTCAAAGCTACTTCACAAACACCCACAAAAACTTATACTCATTGGCACAAACCAAATAGGCCATCTCTGTCACAAGGAGCACCAAGGCTCCACAGAATTTTATTTGTCTCCAAATCATTTCTCTGGGTGGTAGTATGATTGTATTCAAGTCTATTTGCTCTGTAGAATTTCCATTATTTCCATATATGTTGAACATTTTTCAGTGCATCTTTACTCTTTTTTTAAATGATCCCCCACCCCCTTGATATGTCTATCTCTTACCTAATATGACTTTTTCACTACTATAACATTCTTAGCAACTGGCACAGGTTTTTCAAATAGTAAATATTCAATACACATTTGTCATTTTACTGAGTCAGGTGTTCTTTTATTGGATCCATATTAACAACTATGAAGATCTGGTTCTTCTTCTCCTTGCTTTAGCATTCCTTAAGTTGGCAAACAAGTCCCAGTCCTTTCTCCAAAGGAGTTTTCTCAGGGTCTGCAGCCTTCCTCAGATCTGGGATTTATAGAAGACTTTGAAGATTCCTCTGCGTATTTCCTTTGTCTTCACACTGTAGATAATGGGGTTAAGCATGGGTGGCACAAACAGATAGACGTTTGACATCATGACATGAACAACAGGTGGGGCACTTTTCCAGAAGCGGTGGATCATGGAGACAGCAATTATGGGCACATAAAAGACCAGCACTGCACAGATGTGTGACATACAGGTGTTGAGTGCCTTGAGCCGCTGCTCCTGGGATGCAATGACCAGCACAGCTCTCAGGATCAATGCATAAGACAGCAGGATGAAAGTTGAGTCTATGCCATAAGTGAAAATGACCACGAAGAGCCCATAGATGTTATTAACGTGGATGTCTCCACATGCCACTTTCATGAGATCTGGATGGAGACAGTATGAGTGATGCAAAACATTGCCCTTACAAAAGGGAAGTCGTTTCACCAGAAAAGGAAAAGGGAAGAGAGTAGCGAAACTCTTAGCAAGGATACCCAGGCCCATAGCCAAGATGCGGCTGTTGGTGAGCACAGTGGCATAGCGTAGTGGGTCACAAATAGCCACAAAACGATCAAAGCTCATGGCCAGCAGTATGCCTGATTCCATGAAAGAGAAAGTGTGGATGAAGAACATCTGAACCAAACAGACATTAAAGTCAATATGGCGGTAGCTGAAGCAGAAGGTAGCAAGCACAGTGGGCAGTGTAGAGAAAGACACTCCCAGATCATTGAGAGAGAGCATAGAGAGGAAGTAGTACATGGGCTGGTGCAGAGCAGACTCCAGAACCACCAGAGTGAGGATGCTGAGATTTCCTATGATGGAGATCAGGTAGAGGATGCAGAAAATCAGGGCAAGCCAGGCATTTTTTAGCTGGAGTGTGTCTGGCTGGAAGTAGGTACCATTGAGGCCCAACATGGCAGGTGGGAGAATATAGATGGGAGATGAGCCCAAAATGGTGTTTGGGGGAGTTCTTCACTTTCTTTCAGACATCCTGTCTCCAACATAAAAGGTCAGAGATTGAAAGTGTTTGTCTATATTCCTGCTTCCCCATTAGACTATGAGCTCTTTGAAGACAGCAACTGGGTTCTACTCATCTCTGTATCACCAGTGCCCAATATCCTGCCTAGCTGTCTAGGCCATAGTAGAAATTCCATGAAGATGTGATGATCTCATAGCAGGGCAACAGGTAGGAGACAATATGAACAAAGTCCCCTAATTCTCACCTCAAACTGTAGTATCCCTTCACTTCTGCATCTCACCCCAGAAGCCACATTTGGGGAACTTTAGGAAAAGCACAAATTAAGATAAAGAAAAGGAAACACTGCTCAAACTTTTGGAAACCCTTTGGTAGATGATGTGGATGAAACTTCTACAGCTATAAAATTATAGCTTCAATAACCTTTACTCAAATTTCACCTCAGCCTCCCAATTCTTCCCAATCAAGCTACCCCTGAATGTGTCATCACCAAAAGGTGTTCCACCTCTGAAATCTTAAATTCTAATTTTTTTTAATTGTGACCACAGCCTTCTACCTTTCAGTCTTTTACCTTCCTGTGTCCATGCACTTGCTCTCAGAGACCAAATAATTTTTCCATTTTCTTCTGGTCTGTTTATCTTTTAGCAATTTCTTCTTTACTTTTTCCTGACCTACTCTCCCACCAGGACTGGTACCTTTTCTCTTTTTTTGGCTCTCTTTTACATTCACACAGTCAACCCTAACTTTGAGAAAGTCTATAATCTGAGTGTGCAGCTGGATAAAACCAAAGCAGCAAATGTTGCATTGGGCAGGGGGGAAGGACTGCCTAAATGTTAAGCTTATTCACATCTTTACTCTTTTATTCACAATCTTACTCTCTGATTTCTGAGAAAGAGGTCTCTCTCTCCGAGGCCAGCCTTCCATCTTCAGGATTCCATTTCTTGCCGTCCCTTTCAGAGGCCTCTTCCATTAGTCCATCGTATCATAGCTTCCACCTCTCCTTTTCTCAACCTTTTCCTTCAGTCAATAAGCATGTGCAAGACCATCCCAACCTAAAAACATAACCTTCCCTCTGTAGCTGCCACTCCAGTCCCCTTCCTCAATTCTTAGTCAAGCTTCTTGAAACATTGTCTCTCCAGATGCCAAGGAAAGAGAGTTTGTTTATGTTCCTGTTTCTCCAATTCCATTCTGAGATCCTCAAAGTCATGGAGTCAACCTTCTTGACCTTACCTTCTATTACCGCTCAATTTACTATATTGTGGCTTCCATGTTCCACCTTCCCAAGTGAAACCAATTTCTCTATAGACATTATTGACCTCTTTGTTGCTAAATCTAATAAAAAAACATTCTCAGTTATCATCCATTTGGCCTCTCTACCAGAGTTAGCACTGTCGGTAACTCACCTTTTTAGAACTGCCTTCTTCCTTCAGAGGCATCATTTCTTCCCTACTATTTTCCTACTATTTTGATATCTCCTTTCCACCTACTCCACTGAATCCCTTTTGTCCTCAGCCTAACTCCAGAGAAAGTAAGCAATAGTCAGAATGGTGCAAACTGAGAAATCATATCATAAAGAACTTCTTTGCCTTTATCCAAAATATTTCTATAACCAGTTTCCATGGTACCAGATATCTCAAAATTAAAGCTATCATCTGGAATTTAGGCATAATGGCTCCTTTATGCCTTTGACCTTTTCTAGAGTCTTCATCCTCTTCCTAGATCTCTATATAAATACAGTGAAAGTAGATGGTTTTACAATAGGCTGGACAATGCCCAGATATCAATCAAAATCAGAAAACTATATGGGCCATGAGAAATTTGTCTATTATTTTGGTTTCTCTCCTTCTAACTGAGAATTGAAAGAGACCTGTTAATCAGTAAGATGTCTTTTCCTTACTCCCCCTCTAAACTCTTTCTTCCTCCCAAGCAAGGCTTAAAGCCCATGTCTCTTCTTATGGGCTTACATCTTAACTTCTTACATCTTACATCCAGCATATCCAGATCTACTACTTTTACCATCTTCACTCTAAGATTGTCTCTAGGTACTGAAGAAATGGAAAGACCCTTAGCAACAGACACTAATGACTCTACTATAAGACAAGTTTACCTCACTGTCTTTAACCCCTGTGGTACAGATGTAGGTACTCAAGAAGGGCATATTTCATCCATGCTCCAGATTCTCCTCAGTATGGAAAACAACTTTGAAAATGTCTCCTCTGAGGAAAACATGCTCTGCTACCACCAAACAACCATTTCTTCTTTGTTTTGACCATGAAGGTGTCAGTTAAGCCTTACTACTTGTAACCAATCTAGAGAGAAATGTCAAGAAGTTGGAGAGAGACACAGCAATGTACTTCTTTTGCACAGCATATGCAAGAGTGCATACACACACAAACACACACACACAGTTACACAAAATTACCAGCAAATATACATTTCAAATTTCTACACACATTCATTCATAGATACTATCTCACATCACACAGACAAAAACTATTGCACTCTCCCTTGGTCACAAATAATACCAGCGCAACCATAGAATTTAAAAAGACTCATAGTTATTCATTGATATTATACCCTATGTTTCAGATATCCTCCCATGTTTAAACCAACCTGAACACATACTTATAAACACACATACACACACACACACACACACACACACACACACACAGAGCCACAAATGCATCAGTATTAACAAACTCAAAATAATATTTCACCAATTATATTCCCATGACATACTAAATACTGAAAATCCAGCTGGGCTTGAAGACCACATTGTTGAATGACTTCAGTTCATTTGGTTCTGTGATTTTTTTCTCCAGCTGCACATGCAAGACTTAGGAATAGAAGACAATAATTCAAATTGCAGGGTTTAGAAGTATGAAATACCCTCAGGACAAAAAATCTATATCTGATGCATGAGCCCCTTAATGTAAGGATATGTGATTTGGTATTAGGATTTTGATTCAGATGGGAACCTGGTTTCAGTCTGTGATTGTGAGCTTCAGAAGGAAACATATTTGGCTAATGTTTGGAGGGGAAATATGAGGGTGAGAGTCTTCCTTGGGTTGTAATAAGGTGTTAAAGTTTGAGATAAGTTCTAGATAGGCAATGTGAGGGAGGGGCACTCACTGGATGGCAGAAGTTCTTTTTCCCTGTAGCCGAATGTATTGATCTGTCAGGCCAGGTGGCAGAATAGCATCAGCTCACTCACCTAAGACTCATAAATGTATGAATACCCCAGAGTCTTTAAGAATGTTTGTTTGTGGTTGGAGGAGGGAGAGTGGAAAAAATGGGGAGGGTGGGGATCAATGAGTAGTACTGGGCCGTAGGAGAATTGCTCCCAGGAGAATCCCTTTTTTGGTTCCATCAATTCCTAATGTCTCCGACCCATATCTATTGCTATGTTAATTCTTCTTTGATCAAGGAATACAAACAAATATACCTAGTCATAGACATTCTGACACCCCCAGAGATACACCCTTATACTCATTCAGCTATTTATTTGCCAACATTCACACTGACTCTTTTAGATTCATAAACATATAGATAAACACAAATGCACTCATACAACTGCAAATAGGCTAATCGCTAATCATATATCTTGACACATCAAACACACACTGTAAACTGTGTATTTTTACATTGATGATAGAGACTAATGTAGATTACAGACATAATTTTAGAAATAGACAGTTAAGATTCATATACATACTTGAAGAAACAATCAGATACTTTTCAAATATACTCTCATGCTTACACAAGCAAAAGGATATATTTCAAACACATAGCCATATTGTCATTAACAAATCAACAAATTCATATCCCTTTTCTTAAATTCATACATGGAATTTAAATGCATTGCATTGTTTTGTAAAAATACATGTGAGCATCCATATAACATTTCCTTATGCTAGCATTCCTTTTATTCCATTACTGTATGGGGCCTAAAAATTATAAACTTAGTTCAGTTCAACTGAAAACTAACCAAAAAAAAGAAGAGAAACACATTTTTTAACACGATTTTGCTCCAGATAGTATTCTAAGCGCTAATGTTATACAGAAAAATAAAGTCATGGCACCTGTTCTTGCAAAGACAATGAATATTGAAAAATTGATCCATTCAAAAGTCCAGATGCTATCTAGAGACAAATATGCCTCCAGATGCTACCTAGAAAAATGTTATATAAACAATTTCACAACAAAACCAATGCACTTGTCAAAACTTATCTAATGTACACATAAGATCTGTGCATTATGTTTGAAAAAAAAGTACTATATAAATAATTAAACTTTAATTCATTTTATAAATGCTGAAGTATTTAAAGGAAAGTGTATTGATGTTGCAACTTACCTTTGAAATACATCAATAAGGTAAACAGACTGATGGATAAATAAAGAGACAGACACAGGGTAGATATATGATAAAGATAGTATAAAATATTAATAATGTAATATAGATGGTGAGTATACTGGTGTTTACTGCTGAATTCTCTCAAGTTTTCTGTGTGTCTGAAATTTTACATAATAAAATATTAGGAAATTTTTAAAAATTATTATTATACTTGGCATACAATACTATATTAGTTTCAAGTGTACAACACAGTGAGTGATTTAACATTTATGTACTTTATAATGTGATCACCACACTAAGTCTAGTAAAACTTTTAAATTAAAAGACAAAACAAAACATGGTTTGTGGAGCAGGGCATAAACCATTTTTCTGAAAACACAAACCATTGTTCAAAAGTGCAATGAAATTCAACCAAATACAAATGATCTCAAGGCCTAGTTTTAACCAGCCCTGAGCACCTTTTGTATAAACTCAGTATTACTATGTGTTATGAGATGAATTTTATGTGTTTGGCACAATTGACATCTTTTCACATAGTTAAAGATAAGAATCAAATTTTTCAGCTGCATCTTGTTTTGTCTCAAGGCTCACCACTTATGATTAACAAAAAAAGATCCCT